TGCCACATTTGTTTTAAGGAGAAACGGTATCGACAACTGTATACGTCTTGAATCGATGTCCAACAAAGAGAGTAAAGGAAAAAACTTTATAAAAAGTATGGTCCGGGAGAAAACCAAATATAAAATACTATAAAATATTTGGCTCGATTGCTTGGAGATGTGTTCCAAATGAGAGAAGGAAGAAGCTCGATGATAGAAACCATAAGTTAATTCTGGTAGGATATCATTCAACTGATGTGTATAAGTTGTATGATCCTATCAAGAAGAAGATGATCATCAATAAATGAGAAAGATTGTTGGAAATGATGTTCGATGGTGGAAAATCGAAGTGTTAGCTTTAATAACTTGAGTGATATAGAAATTAAAGACAACGATCGATCGATTTCTAGTATCGAAGGAGGAGAAAATAGATCGATTCTCAAAATTGAAAGAGGAGGGAGAAATTGACCAATTAGATCAATTAAGGCACAGACTAGGTTTGATGATTATGTAATCAATACTGATAATTTTATTCAACAATTGGACAAATGATTGGAGTAATAGAGGATGAGAATGATCTTGTGCACTTAGCCTTGTATGGTGATATCGAGACTGAACTAGTTTGCTTTGAAGAATCGATCAGGATCTCAAGTGGATTGAAGCCATGAAAGCTGAGTTGTTGGCAATTGAGAAGAATAAAACATGAGAACTAACTGATCTTCCAGAGAATCAAATTTCAATTGGAGTAAAATGGGTGTATAATAAGAACAATTGTAGCTTGTAAGTTATAAAGGGTGACAAATGCATCAAATGGATGTAAAATATGCATTTTTTGAATGGTGAATTGGAGGAAGAATTTTATGTTACACAACCACCAGGGTTTGTGAGCATTGGAAAAGAACAAAAGTTTCTTAGATTGAAGAAAACACTAAAATTGATGGTTGTTTTCGACGACAAGGATTCTTGAAGTGTGAAGTCTAGTATGAAATTTACTCGAAGATCAAAGATGATGATGTATTAATTGTTTGCTTATATGTCGATGATTTATTTATTACAGACAATAAAATTACTTCGATCGATAATTTTAAAAGGAATATGCAAGATCAATTTGAAATGACCAATATAAGGAAGCTGTCATATTTTTTTGAAATGGAGTTCATCAAAGGCAGGGAAGGTATTTTGATTCACAAAAGTAAATGTGCTAAAGAAGTGCTCAAGAAATTTAGGATGAGTGAGTGTAATGCGATAATTTACCAGTCGAGATAAATTTGAAGCTTGACAAAGATGAATATGCGAAAAATGTAGATGCTACAGTTTATAGACAAATGATTGATTGTTTAAGATACTAAATATTTGTTTTGGTGTTGAGTTGTTGAGTAGATTTATAGAGAATCCCAAAGCATCTCATCTTACAACAATCAAGAGAGTTCTAAGATACATAAAGGGAACAATCAATCATGGTATTCTATTACCAAATACTACATATCAAAGTGGAGGAGAATTGATCAAATGTTCCGATTCTAACTAGGCTGATGATAAAGTTGGGTTCAAAAGCATATTAAGTTATGTATTCCTATTGGAAAATCATTGATTTCATGGTGCTCAAATTTACAACCTATTGTGGTACTCTCCTCTTATGAAGCTGATGCTTACACAACTTCTCAAGTACTATAGATCGAGAGTTTGGTGAATCGAGTTATAGAAATACCAAAGAAGACAATGACACTAAAAATTGATAAAAAGTCAACCATCAAGCTAAAAATCTTATTCATCATGGAAGAAGTAAGCATATCGGATTAAAATTATATTTTATCGGAGATGAAGTTAGAAAAAAGAAACTGAAGTTTGAATATTATGATATAAAGAAATAATTGATAGATATTATAACTAAGTCTTTGAATAATTCAAGGTTTATAAAATTAAAAGAAAACATAAATATTAAATCGATTAATGAATTTAGGGGTTGTGATAGATGATAATTTAACCATAATGTTATAATTATTGTTTTAGTTAAGTTAGTTAGGCTAACAAATCTTTATAACTACTTTAAATATTATGTTTCAACGATATTTCAAAAGTGCAATTATATAATTCAATTTTTATATGAAATACAATTTTTATTAAGTATAACTCTTTCTCTTAATATTTTTTCTATAATTGTTTTGACCCTTTTAAGTTAACCGGATACATATATAAAATAAGCTTCTAAGGAGCATAAATTATGTAATTTCAAAATCCTTGTCACTAATTAAGAACTCTTATCACATTTCTTATCTTATCTTGCAAGAATAAGTTATTTAATATGTATTATTTTTCAAGCTGAAATTTATCTGAAATGATGATGAATTAACTCACATAAGAAAAACGGTAAAATGTTTTCTACATCGCAAACGAATAAAGCAAAGGGTGAAAATAAGGGAAAGAAACAACAAATTCTCGTACCGTTCAGGTTCCACCAATAATAATCATATATAACATTTTCCTGTTCTAACTGTACTCAAACACTATTATCTTCTTTAGCGAAACAACCATTATCCTATAAATGTATCATGTCATTTTTTTTTCTTTTTTTAATATGCTTTTTAATGTTAGAAAAATTATATATATATATATATATATATATATATATATATATATATATATTATTCTGTCCAATTTGACTTATTTTTTAATTTAAATTCAATTAACGCCGATGCAGTACCGACAAATTTCATTAAATTTTTAAAAAATATTACCGCCAAATTCTTTATATGATTTTACAAAATCTAGTGAGTAATTGGTAATATGATTTATTTTTTATGGTATGAATAAAAATGTATTTTTCCTGCAAATTGGAAATTATTTATTGTATTTTTAATCTTTCAAACAAATTAAACATTAAATGAAATGACATTAATAAATCAAATTAGATTGACTAATCCAATTGTGATCTTTCACATAAGACAATTAATTGTGTGACTTATATTTTAATCCCCGAGTTTTTTATTCTTAAGAAAACTGTAATAAAATATCGAATAATGTTTGAAGTCGATGTTTTGTTCTTCTTTTTATGAATATTTTGTCCTTTCTTTCACATAAATGTTACATGAAAATATAACATTTTTCGTTCACTTTAAATTTTTAGAACAATAAAATTCTCACTCCGGTTTATGGGGGGTTTATGTGAGACGTGAGATAAGGGTGAATAAAAGAAGTAAATAAATAGATAAGTATAATTTCTGATTTGATAAACATAAAAATGAATTTGTTCAAAATTTCATTGATTAATTAATTATATCAAACATGACAAGGAGTGTCATATTTATTTAATTTTACAAAATCATGACAGATTCAAGTGTTTTAAAATTCAACGGATATTGGTTTGATAATATGAAGTTATGTAATGTAAATGTGTTTATTGATTAATTAATTTATTTTAAATATATATATATATATTATATTGTATTAAAAGATAATAAAGAATATTTTTAATAATATTATATTATATTTAGAATAGATATATTTATTTTAAAAAACTTAAATATATTTTTGTTTCCTATAAAATGAATTTGTTTTAAATTCGATTTTTATAAATACTTTGTTTATATATATTGTTCCTTAAAATTAAATTAATGAGTTTTAGTTTTTATAATTGTACTTTTGTTCTTCAATTAAATAATTATATTTTATATATTAAAGATTTTCTTTTTCTTTATATCTAGGAATTTTTGCTCAAAGGATGATCAAGAAAACAAATTTGGATAATTTTGTAATTCTTGAATGCTCATTCAACTTAGCACCTATGAGGTCTGTCTACTCGAAATCGCGACTCAAGGTTGTCTAGCAAGTGGTCTTCAGTGACCCAAATCACGATCCAAGGTGGTCCATCATGTGATCTTCAATAACCTAAATTGCATATTGTTACAATTTAGTATCAGAGCAATTACAGAGGAATATGCTAGCTGACAGAAACCTAAATGGAAACAGGCACATCATATATAACAATGGTGAGAAGAATGAGCTTAGCTTAGTTGAAGCATCCCATCTTTGAAAAAGGATTTAGAAAGAGGATATTTATCGATAGCCTGAAAACCTTACAATGGCTTGTCTTACGCCATTTAAAAAGAAAAAAGAAAAATTCTAATATTGATATAAATACAACTTCGTGTTCTATTGAGAAAGTTTGTCAAGCAAAATATCATATGATAAAGAAACAAATCTCTTCAAAAACCAGCAAACTTATTCATGAAGGATACAAATATTCAACACTTCAAGATATAATCAGAATTCCATTGTTGAAAAATCTCTCACACTTTGAATCTTGACAGCCTTACATATTTCATAAGTTTTACTCTTGGTTGTGCCAAGTTACTTATATTTGTTCTTAACTTGTACACTGTCACATTGTTAGTTATCTTCTGTTTTTTATGTTGTAGAAAACTTGAAGAGGTTTAGGAATCAAAATAATTTAGTAAACAATCTTGGGTTAACGTTGTTGTTGCAGACTGAAGAGACATAGCAAGAACAGTACGTACCTAACTCAACTCGAATGAATTAATATAAAAACTTATTTTGTGTTTTCTTTCCCTTCTTCTCCTATCATTTTCCAAAAGCTTGTCTAAAAAGTTCAAACTTACATATATCTTGCAAAAAGGCTAGAAAATGGTTTTCATACGCATACTTAACCTCCTCCTCTGCTGTCTTTTGTTCCTTTATCATAAACTTTAGTGGTGTCAAAAGACTGAAACGAAAGAGGTCACACACAAGAAATAATCATGCAGTTTAAAATGTCAATTGGGCATAAAATTCATACAACAGAAACACAAGAAAATAGAGTGAGATACATCTTGTCTCATGTAAATTATCATGTATGTGTTGAAATTATGAGGAACATGTTTATTTGGATGCCGAGTGTGTATGTTCTACCTGCTTCTATTGTTACACTTTGAGCATGAATATATTCTTTCAAAACGATATATATTGTCCATTGTTCCCATGCTTCAATGTTGCTAATTTATGCAGAAGTGTATTGGGAAGGAGAGTTATTGTAGAATTGGGAACCAAACAAAGTCAAAAAGGCCTGTTATGAGAGAATTTCCTATCCAAACATCAGGAAATGGGCACTGGGGGGCTACCGTTATGTACACTTTCTGGCCTTGGTTGGCCATGCCATACCCTCTAAGGAACTTGGCAAGATCACGCCAATATTGCTTTGGATCACCTTCAATATCATAATCAATGCCAAAATCAATGCCATCAAGGACAGCAGGGCCAAGAGGGCGAGATGGTGAGAGTCCCCCCAAGAAGTTATTCCAAAGGTAAGTGGCTAGTTCACTTGCATCCTGAGTGGATGCATTTGAGTAGCTTCCACCACCTCCTACTAAAGAGAGCAATACCTTGGCACCTTTGGCTTGACAAGATTTTATGTCTGAGCTCAAGCCAGCGCATCCATTACTATAAGGGTCACAGTGATCACCCAGATTAATCATGGGAGTTTGGCCATTGCCAAAGGATGGCAAAAATGCTATGATCACATAATCATAGTTTCCTGTGGCACAAGCCTCCCCTAGTGTGCCCTCCTTACCATTCTGGCCCCAGTAGATTGCAAGAATGCTATCATTAGAATCAATTGCTAGTGCAAACGAGACTAAGGAGATGAATATGACGAAGATTGCTGATTTCGTTGTCATATTGAAGAGTGAAAAATCTAAACAATCTTTTTAAGATAGTCACAGATTTAGGGTGCTTCTGTCAAGCACTGGTGGGGGAGAATGGCTTTTATAAAGTTCAGAAGTTTCAATCCCTTCAAAATTAACTTTTTAGCTTTGCTTATTAATTAGAGCGTTCCTTGTCAGTAATGCTTAATATAATAAGCATTGATGCTGACTTTATGGAAGAAACGAGCAAATTTAACAGTATCATGGCAATTCTAACATCTTCTATTAGCTCTTATTCAGTGCTTTCCTCAATTTCTTCCACTATCCTCCACTCTCAAGAATGATAAATTAAAATAGTAGTCAAATGTAAGAAGCATGCTCGCAATATTTTTTTATAGACCTCAGTGGTGAAGTGATCATAACATGTTCACGAATTCGTTACCAGTGGTGTGTGAATGAGAGCTTAATGATATTCATGAACTTGTTTCTTTGGTAGTTATCAGTTTAGAGCTTCTGCACTAACAACAGTTACTGACTAAAAGAGTAAGACCCATGTAGCAACTCATGTTGGAAATTTAATTTTTATATTAAACTACGTTTTTACATCTCAAACAGGTGAAAATCTAGAATAAGTATATATCGGATCCATTGATCATTTATTAATCTAAATAACAACTCATGTTGGTAATATCAATCTTAAGTTGATTATTCTTGTTTTTACACTATTTGCTCTATCACCCCCGCCCGCAACACTGTTTTTCAGTCATGAATATAGTAAAAAAATAAGGGTGTCAATGAAACATGAGTGAACTCGGTTCATTACGAGTTCAAACCGGTTTAGATTTGATTTTTTTATTTTTATCAATAATAAATTAAAAATAAAACAAACTCACTTAATTCACATGTTCAACAGGTTTAAATTAAGTTATGGTGAATTAATTCACAGTTTACTATTTATTTTAAATTTTAAAAATAATTATAATAATTTAATAATCTTAATTGATATTATTTTGTCTCTTTATCTCTATTTTATGTAATTATTACAAGTCAAACTCCTACTCAAATTTTGCATTTGTTGTATGTTGCACGACTAAGTTTGTTGTTATATCTAGGTCACAAAAAATATGGGTTAGTGAGTCAATTCACCTAATTCATCAACTCATAATAGATTGAGTCAAGTTGTAAATTTTTTTACACATTATAAAATGAATCAGAGTTGAACTTTCTTATTTTTAGTTTGATCCGTAGTGATTCAACCCAACTCAGGTTAAACTCACTTATTTTTAGTTATTTTCACATTTATTTTCAAAAATATATATTTAAAAAATAAACTTTGGAAAAAAAATAAGATGACAAGTGCAATTCCTCACAAAAACATTTTAATAACTTCATTTAATAATATAATAATTATTTAAAACTATCTTTATTCACGTAAAATTCTTTCATAAATAAGTTGAGTTGTGTAATGGATGATTTTATTTTATTTTTCAACATGGTTCTCGATGTATCATTACTCTAAACTTTTAGATGCATACATAATTAAAAGGGTTTAGTATAAATTTAATTATAAACTATTTTTGTGACATGAAAAAAAGATGTTTTGTATTCTAATCGAACGGTGAAATTTCTCCTATAAATCAATCCAAAATCACGGGTGAGTTTGTTTAAATTTATTTCTTTTAAATTATTTTTATATTTATAATTTTATTTATGTACTTATCTAAATACAAAATAATATTTTATATTTAATTCATTTTTAAAACCTTTATGCATTTAATTGTATCATGTTTAGTTAAAATAGATTTTAAAGGTTAAAGTTAATTTTTAGATATCAAAATCAATTACTATATATATATATATATATATATATATATATATATATATATATATATATATAACTAATTATATATTTAGTTATAATAGATTATATAAGTAGTTTGAATATTTACAACTAATATATAACAACTTTTTATATTATTTCAACATTAATTCTCATAACTAACCATTTTTTAAAATAATCAGTTACAATTATCATCTCCATTTAAAAATACTTAAAAATATAAATACATGTCTAAGCATTTCAAAAGAAGCATTATTCTATTACATAAGTTTAGCGGTTCAATGCTCAAACTAACCACCTAAACTATCATTTTGTTCATATTTTTATCGCATTTCATATTAACACACCACATAAACTATGGTAAGATAGTAATAAAATTCTTTATTGATATAGTTACCAGAAAATATTCTCAATATTCACATTTGAATAAACAAATCAAGCACCAAAATTATACAATAAATCAAGTGTCTATTATTTCAGCATGTAAGTTACATCTCATGTCATCATACATTAAGGTTCACAATTATAGATAGTTAGACATTATTTCTAGAAGATGTTAGGTTAAACTGTAATTGAATATGATCTTCATCCTAATGATCAAACATATATCTATAATCCCATACTGTAAACATGTTATATAAACTAAATGCGAAAGCGTACCTGAATTAGCCATAATGATGATATTCTTTGTAGAGCACCTTTGAGTTGATCTTATGGTCTTCCACCTGAAGAGTACCTGTATTTCCCTATGGATTTTCTCTCTTGATGGGGATAGAAAGAAAAGAACGGGACTGTATCTGTATTCTGTCTGTGTGCTCTCAGAAGGGGACCATGACCCTTTATATAACCAAAATTAGGTTAATTACTTAAGTTTTAGTATTTTCAATTTGGCCCCTCATCAAATTAGAAATTACTCTATGGTCTCTACACAATCATATTTTCATGACATATGCCTTTAGCCAAAACTTTAATTTATTCAGATCACTTTATTATTTGGCTTAATAAACAATGACCCTAACACATTTAAATATGTATCATATATATACATGACCCAAAATTTGCCAACAATCTCCCACTGGTCATAAATATATATGTCTTTACAACCTTACAAATGTGTTAGACTTTATGAGCTCAAAATTGTCATTATATTCCTTTAGCATATTCCAAAAGTCCTGTCCATTAATCATATCAGGATATAGAACCAAACCAGCTTTTCATTGCATCATCGCAACTAAAACCAACAAGATTACTCATCCTGACATAACCAAATGACATGGATTCATCATGAAATGTGTAGCATGAAAAATTACGTGAAGGTGATCTGTACACGTCTATTTTCAACTGGTCCAAACTTTAACTTATCGAGATCGATACAATAACCTTAATGTACAAAGTGTAATGAATGAACAAGAAAACCGCATATCTATAGATAACCAAATATGTCCAAAAAAACAATGTATACATATATAAAATTAAACATAGAACATAAAATATATGAAAATGACTAACTCCCACTAAACCACAAATTCCTCAAACTGTAAAACACCCATGTGAGCAACATGCTCATGAAAGACCTTGGGCGGAAATTCTTTAGTTAGAGGATATTCTATCATGGAGTTTGTCCTTAAGTGTTCTATGGAAATCTGTCCACTTTGTACTCTTTCCTTAACAATATAGCTGATTTATTGTCACAATATAACTTAAGTGGTCTTTCAATGCCTTTCACAATTTGCAGCCCTGTGACAAAATTTCTCAGTCATATTCCATGATTTGATGCCTCATAGCATGCTACAATTTCTTGACATCCTGCAAAATCTGAGTCAGAAAACCCAGCGATCTCCAACTGGTCTGACCTCCTGTATGTGAGCATATAATCTTTTGTTCTCTTTAAATATCTTATGACCCTTTTTGCTGCTTTCCAATGGTCTATTCCTGAATTGCTTAAATATCTGCCTAGAACCCCAACTATGTATGTTATGTATGGATGCATACACATTTGGGAATACATCAAACTCCCGATAGCTGATGCATGGGGAATCTGTTGCATTTCCTCAATTTCCAAATTCCCCTTTGGGCACTAATTTAGACTAAACTTGTCTCCCTTATTAACTGGAGTATCCCCGGCTCATGACGCACAGGTTCTTGAGGATCTTGAGTTTGGTCTTGACGAACAATCAAATCATCTTGAATATGGGGTTTATCATCAATGTCTTGTGGAGGTTCCGAACTTACTTTATCAAAAGTAACTGTTTGAATCGGTTCTGGATTTATTGTCAATTCTTCCTCTAATACAAAACTCTTAATCTTATTCTTCCCCCCAAACTCAATATCCTCAAAGAACATAACAGTTCCCATATCAAAAAATTGTCTTTAATGTGGGATCATAAAAAATTATATCCCTTGGCTCTTTCAGAATAACCAATGAAGTAACTACTTACTGTTCGGGAGTCTAATTTTAGTTTAGTACCACGGGATTCTGTATTAAGAGTTGCATTATAGGTGACCACAGTATCAAGTAAATATAGATTATCATTAGCCAAAAATTGAACCAATTATAACAATATCTGAATTAAAAGACAAACTGAACTTATTGTTTCCAAATGAACACAAATAACCTAATTTGTCCAAATAAGAAACTGAAACCAAATTCCGTCTAAAAGACGGCACGACAAAAAAAAATGTCTTTTAAATCTAAAATAAAAAACCAGTACACAATAATAATCTAAAATGTTCAATAGTCTCCATCTCCACCAATTTGCCATTTTCAACGTATATTCATCTTTCGAAATTAGTTGGCTTCGGTAGTTTAGGCAACCCTTTCTTTTCACGCCAAGCATGATATTTAGCACATTGCTTCTTTATGTGTCCAGTCTTATTGCAAAAGAAACATTTATTTTCTTGAGTTTGTTTCTTTTGTTCCGGACCTTTAGCAGCTTCCTTCTTGGGATCCTCCGATCTCTTTCTTTTGCCTTTAGCCTTAAAGGTGCTTGCAAAATGAGCACTTTCTGTCTTGTCTTGCTTTAGCCTTTCTTCTTCTTGTACACAATGTGAAATGAGTTCATTAAGAGACCATTTATCCTTCTGACAGTTGTAAGATACCTTAAACTGATTAAACGTTGCGAGAAGAGAAATCAACACCAAATGAATGAGCAAGTCTTCTGAGAGTTCAAGCTTTAGTGCCTTGAGCTTAAAA